TGTATAGTCTGCCCGTGTCTCCTTGTTTGATGTTGTTGCACTGCGATGTCTCATGTTTCAAACATGAGTCTAATGTCTAGATTTGCTGAATATTTTTTTTTCTTGTATAGTCTGCCCGTGTCTCCTTGTTTGATGTTGCACTGCGATGTCTCATGTTTCAAACATGAGTCTAATGTCTAGATTTGCTGAATATTTTTTTTTCTTGTATAGTCTGCCCGTGTCTCCTTGTTTGATGTTGCACTGCGATGTCTCATGTTTCAAACATGAGTCTAATGTCTAGATTTGCTGAATTTTTTTTTTTTCTTGGAAAGGACTCTGATATTAAATTCATGTACAAATTTGACTCCTGCGCATGAATCCATGTTCAGAGATTTGGCCGGTTAGTGCCAATAAGCTACAATTTAAAATGTTAAGTTCACTGAACTAAATTGGGCTCTTTGAATTTCAGTAACATTAAACTGACTTAAAAAATCCAGCTGAATCTAGTATAACTTATAAAAAAAAGTTGAAATTGCTTAAATTATTTTTATGAGTTAAAGTAACTTAAAAACATAAGTTGTCATGGCTTTTTCATCATATCATTTTTTACAGTGTGGATGTTTCCGTTACACATTTCTCCTTGTGTACACTGTGAATCTCACTCTCTCTCAAGTAATTACTTTCAGCCATAATACAATTGAATCCTGCCACCAGCTGCGTTGTATGTTTGGTGCTGCTAATATTAGGTTAATGTATAAATGAATCGTCATTGTCCTTAGCAGGAGCTCATTTGTGTCTTCAGTTTGTCACGCTGGGCTGAGAAATGCAGGAGATTAAAAACTGATATATTTACTTATTTTATATGTAGCTAATGCATATAGTGGGGGGAATGGAGGTAGTTATCACACTTTTTACTCCAGTGGGCATTTCATAGGCATATATCTTTAAAGTCTCTGAAATCAAAAAGCGATTGAACATTTCCTCCATTACTGCGGGAAAAAAAAAGAGATCCCGTTTATTCCACAGACAGCATGTGACATAATTTGGGCCGTACCCACTGTATATATATATATATATATATATATATATATATATAAACAAATTATCCCAACCTGATACATACTCTTGTTTTGAGAACACATCCTTGAGAAAATAACAACCTTTGAAACAACTAATTATGGAAATAATACACTTGAAATAATGCTGAAATGCTAACAGAATGTAACATTTTTAGACACTTAATTTAATATTAATTGCAAATAAATTAAAATGTATTACAGTTCAAATTGATATTTAATGCAGTTAGCTTTAGAGTGCTTTTTCCCCACTTAAATAGATTTAAATGGAATGTTAAATGTAATTTCGTAATTAATATTGTTAAAGTGCAATATCAGAGAACTTACACTTATGGTAAACTAAAATATACTTTATTGTAATTTCTATTAAGACCTATTTCTCATTTAAATATATTTCTATTTATACATATGTATTGATAAAATGACAATTCAGTACATTTAAAATATGTTTACTTTAAATGTAATATTGAATAGCACAGTTAACATTATAAGCAAGTATTTTACATATGATTTAGTATGTTAGTCAACACATCAAAATTAGTTTACTTCTTCAAATCTTGTCAAAAGATAAATGTTGATTTATGAAATGTACTTTTAAAGTGTATTAAGAAACATAGTCATGAAAGTTTACTCTCTTGTGTGTGTGTGTTATGTATTATAACATTATCTGTAAGTAAAATTTTTTATGATGCATAAAGAAAATAAAGCTCTATAATATATATGATATTTATATCTATCTGCCTATTAAAAAGGAAATATATGCTTATCATATCATTTTATTGAACCTACACGTGCCCCACTGTTAAAAACTGAGGCATGTCTCGTTGTAACAGTCTCTGCTTCTAATAGAGAGAAGCTGGTCTACTTTGAATAAGAGATTGAATCGACCAGGATTTGCTATGTAAATGCATGCTAATTTATGCACGAGTGATGTGCAGATGTTGGGCAGATCAGTTGTAGAGGGGCAAGGGGACGTGATTTCTGTTCCATGTTCATTTGTCATCATCTGTGTTTTTTCACAAGGTGGTCAGGGAGTGATCTGATCCGACGATCCCCCTGCCATGCCTCTCAAACAGAACAGGGGTATAAATATAGGGAACATGTACATGCTGAGCTCAAATGTTTCATTGAACTACACTTTAGAAATCACATAGTGTGGCCCTCAGTGTAAGTACTAAATTTGGTTGGTGTTAATCGCTGACTTATGACTGTACAGCTGTATGGAGAGTATAAATACAGAAGAAGTCATGATGATTTAATGTCTGTAACGCAAATGCACACAGATTCATATGGCTGTTTTGCTGAGCATTGCATTTTGTGCTTGACATTACCTCAGCTATTTTATATTAGTTATTTGTAGGATGCAGCAAATGGCTCGGAAACTCTGGCCTTTTGCAAAATGGATTTACATAAGCAGAATAATTTATTAAAAAATTAAATAAAATGAAATGAAAAATCTGATGACTAAACTGAAGCATGCTTTGTATAACTCTGCGATGTGTTCATGAACAGAAGGTATGTCAGGACAGAAGGTAGGGACTGTTAGACAATTTTGTTTACACACAACTGATGTTGTGTGTTTTTATTTATTTTATATAAATTTTTTGAAAATAACCTTAAACTCAGTGTAACTGTGGAAAACCATCTCATAATGGTGCTCAGGCCTTACAAAAAAATGGATAGTGTCTGGTGCCCTCATGTGGCACTGGGAGTAAACACATCCATTTCCCGCCAACTACTTCATGTGAAGGCAATAATTGCCTACATGGCCAGTGGAAAGTTCTGTTGTTTAATCACCCTCATGTTGTTCCAAGCCTGTAAGAGTTTCTTTCTTCTGTTGAACACAAAATAAGGTATTTTGAGGAATGTCGGTAACAAAAAAGTAGACGGTAGCCATTTATTTTTATTTGGTTAGGGTTAGGGTTAGGTTTTTCGTAGTAAGGAAGTCAATGGCTAACGTCAACTGTTTGGCTACCAACATTTTTCAAATTATCTTCTATAAAATTTCTGTGGATATGGAATTTTAAATCTGTAATAAATTCACATAAACTAAGGTCCCAATATCACATTTTATTAATTAACCATGAAACCATGTAATCCATTCATTTTCCAAACCACTTTTCCTCTGGGTTGCAAGGATGCTGGAACCTATCCCAGCGTCTTGGGTCGCGGCCAGGGGAAACTCTCTGGACAGATGGCCTTCTGGAGTAGGCCTATACAGAGACCTAATACACGTAAGAGATTTTGTTAGATTTGTCAAATGATATAATTATGTGGGATAATGTAAACTTCCACAGAACCAACATTGTTGGGAAATGGTTCGCTGAGCATGAAAGGATAACACTAAAGTTCCTTCCACCATACTCCATTTCCTGAATCAGATATTTCAGCAAAGAGATGGAAAGTGTATGACTGTAAGGCACAAGACCAGATAACTATGTTGGATGCCATGAATGCTGCTTGTGAGGACAATCTCTGGAAAATCTCTGGTAAGACCAACAAGAATGACAGGATGCTCACCTAGAACTTCCAGTGTTATGTACATTGAGGAGGTACAATTTAATGGTTTTTTTTTTTTTTTTTGTATAGAACTAGAGCAGATTGATTTTGTGGCAAACTCATTTCACACAAAACTGCATGTGACTAGCCATTTTTTTTGGACTTCCACAATTAGTTTCCTAATTTTTAAAACTTTGTATATAGCACATTCAGACTTGGATGAAGTACAAGCCTATATATCATGACTTAGACAGAGCAGCATGCGTGTCATGCTTTCAGACCCTCGACATCCCACAGCTTCCACCCCCTTATCTGATTGGCTAATGTGGAGTGCTGGAAAGAGTTATGCAGGGAACGCCTCTATTCCCATAAAAATGTAGGCAACTTAAAAAAAAAAAAAAAAGCATAATTTTGGATTTTAGTTCACCGTCGAGAGGAAAATGGCATCAGCACATGACAGAGCAGTTTTACAGGCCATCTTTAACCCTACCAGCCCTTTTGGAGATATCCCTGGATTCAATCAAGAAGATGAGCTGACAGACGATGGTAAGATTAAGATCCATAATTGGATTACATATGCAAAGTTTGTGTATCTATTGATTCACATAATGTTATATTGTGATAGATAGATAGATAGATAAATAGATAGAGTGGGTCTATCTTTCAAATGCTATAAAGATGTGTCCTCATTGTGAACACTATTGTGTATTTCTTTCATATCTCTTTCTTTAGACAGTGTTTTTGACCCAGAGCTAGTGAAACAGATGAAAGATCTGGAACTGCAGGGAGTTTCGGCTGCTGAGTCTGGAGACCTGCCCGCTGCTCTTCAGTATTTTAACCAGGCCATCAGGATCCTGCCTCAGAGGGCTTCAGCCTACAACAACCGAGCCCAGACCAAACGCCTGAAGGGAGACACCAAAGGTGATACATTTCTTCTTTCTCTCCCAAAACCAGCTGAAAGGTTTCAAACTTTTATTTCTGCAGCTGTTTTTTTAATTTTTTTTCCAGAGACCATAATGAAAATACATTAAAATACCTAAAACTTTCACTGATGTTCACAAAAATCGTGATTGGGGCAGATTATTGCTTAATAAAAGCTTATTTTCTTACACAATACTAACTCAAGTATTCATGATTTGTAAACCAATACATTTTGACATTTGTATCATATAACCAGCTCCTTATGTATGGCTTTACACTTACTTAACCATGGAAAAAAAACCTTGGTCACTATAGGCGAGTTAAAACAGTGGTAACCACAAATTAACCATGGCTTTGCTTCACTAACCGTAGTTTAACCATGGTGTTTGTAGTAAAACTGTAGTTATGCAAATGGTATATATGGTTATGCAAATTATATATATATATATATATGCATACAATGTATATGTGTGGCAATGAGTCCAAACACAAACATCAGTCCTATCAGGCGTCAGAACAAAAGGGGCAGAGTACAAATACCGTGAGTCAAGAAGTCAGGCAGAATCATACACAGGAAATCAATCAGGAACAGAGGAAGAATAACACTTGGTAAGGCAGATCAACTGGCAATACTTCGAGATCAGCACATGGACTGGTCTCAGTTTATATAAGAGTCAAACAGGAAGTGGAAGCAGAGGGAGTGGAGCACGGTCAGTACTCGGGCGAGGGCTCCCTCTGCTGGCTTGGCGTTACAGAACCCCCCCCTCTAGGAGGGACTCCTGGAGCTCGACGTGGACGACCCCGTGGTCTCGGTGCTGGGCTTGCTGCCAGGCCGATAAGTGACAGTAAAATTGAATCGTGTGAAGAATAATGCCCAACGGGCTTGCCGGGGGTTAAGACGCTTGGCACTCTTTATATATTCAAGATTCTTATGGTCTGTAATCACTTGGAAGGGATGAAGAGCTCCCTCAAGCCAGTGACGCCATTCTTCGATCGCTGCTTTCATGGAGAGTAGTTCCTTATTTCCAACATCATAGTTGCGCTCAGCGGAGGTTAGTTTTCTGGAGAAGAAAGCACATGGATACAATTTGCTTGGTTGTCCTCGTCTCTGAGAGAGTACAGCACCTATGCCACAGTCTGAGGTGTCCACCTCTAGTATGAATGGTTCGTTCGGATCAGGATGTCTTAGGATAGGGGCTGTTGTGAATCGTTCCTTCAATGCGTTGAAAGCGTTGTTAGCTTCCGAAGTCCAAACCAGTTTTGACGGTTTATTCTTAAGGAGTGAGGTGAGAGGAGAGGCAACCATACTATAATTTCGGATAAACCTCCTGTAGAAATTGGCAAAGCCTAGAAATCTCTGCAGATCCTTGACGGTTCTAGGTTGTGGCCATTCAGTGACTGCCTGAACTTTGAGGTCATTCATCTTGACGCCCTGTGAGCTGATGTGGTAACCCAGGAATGAAGTTTGATTAACATGGAACTCACACTTTTCTGCCTTGACATATAGTTTATTCTCTAGGAGCCGAGAAAGGACTGTTCTGACATGGGAAATGTGCTCTTGTTCTGTCTTGGAAAATACGAGGATATCGTCGATGTATGCAACCACAAATTTATTCAGGAGGTCCTTGATTTCATTTATGAAAGATTGGAATACAGCGGGAGAGTTGGCCAGCCCATACGGCATTACCTGATATTCATAGTGCCCCCTAGTGGTGAGAAAAGCTGTTTTCCATTCATCCCCTTCTTTGATTCTGATGAGATTATATGCACTTCGAAGTTCGAGCTTGGTGTAGATTTTGGCTTCTCTGAGTTGTTCTAATGCTGATGGCACTAAAGGAAGAGAATAGCGAATCTTAACCCTCTGGGGTCCGAGGGTGTTTTGGGGCCTGGAAAAGTTGACATGCCGATGTAAAAGGCGATGGATTCCTTATGAAGGGTTCCAACTTGGAGGGTGAGTGTATTGGTCTGGTGAGTGATGCCTCTTCCACTCAATTCACCATCGATAGCCTTGACTTGGATAGGTGGGGTGCACATTTGTGTAGGGATTTGATATTTGGTTACGATGTCCTGGTGGATGAGATTCAGGGCGGCTCCGGAGTCAATCATCGCTGTGAGGTCAAGAGAGAGAGTATCAGTTCTTAAGACAACAGGGAGTGTGAATGACTTGTTGCTTAAAAGGGCAAAATGTTCAATATTTACCCGGGGATTATTTTGAAGCTTGTGGGGGCATCCTAAACTGCGGTGGCCTGATTCACCGCAGTAAAAATGTCGTTGATGTCGTCTCCGTTCTCTTTCACTCTCAGAGAGTCGGGACGCGTTTATTTGCATGGGTTCCTCAGGGGAAGACATTTCCACAGGGTTGGGTGTGAGATCGTTGGTTTGCCCACCTTTTCCACTTCTCCTTTTAGGAGCTTGTCTCATGAGGTTATCAATCCTGATGGCGAGTGTGACAAAATCGGAGAAGGAGGACTCCTCACCCTTGCATGCAAGTTCTGCCTGAAGATCGCAGTTGAGACTTTTGTGAAACATAGCTTTTAAAGCGACATCATTCCATCCACTCTGGGCAGCGAGCGTTCTGAATTCAATGGCAAACTCAGCAGCGGAACGATTACCTTGTGTCAGATTGATGAGCTGTGTCGAAACGTCCTTTCCGCCGTGAGGATATTCAAACACTTCACGGAGTTGTTGAATGAAGTACGTCACTGAATTCCTCAGGCGTGAATCCGAGTCCCAAACGGCTGCTGCCCAGTCGATAGCTCGGCCCGTCAATAGTGTCATGATGAAAGCGCACTTTTTGCCCTCTGATTCGAATCTCTCTCCTTGATGATCCAGATAAACTTGTACTTGGCGAATGAAGCCCTTGCATTGCTCAGCGGTACCGTCAAATTTGTCAGGAAGAGCGAGACTTACGGTCTTAGGAGTGGGTGGAGGGAGAGATCGAATGTAGTGCGTCAGGTGTTCGTTGACGGTCTGCAGCTTGGTGAGTTGTTCCTGATATTTCTGGAGCATTTCAGCTTGGTATGAGAATGCTGTTTGCAGATTCGACACTTCCGCTGGATTCATAGGAGGCGAAGTATTCTGTAACAGAGACGCTGGAGTTTGGTTAGAATCCATGAGCGGAAGTTTATTAAAGGTCAAGGCTTTAAACAGATGTCGATAATCAGGCAGAGGGTCAAAGTCAGAGAAGCAAGCAGATCGTTCGTCATACACAAGGGCAGAAGCAGAGACAATAGTGGAGAGGCAGGCAATGAGTCCAAACACAAACATCAGTCCTATCAGGCGTCAGAACAAAAGGGGCAGAGTACAAATAACGTGAGTCAAGAAGTCAGGCAGAATCATACACAGGAAATCAATCAGGAACAGAGGAAGAATAACGCTTGGTAAGGCAGATCAACTGGCAATACTTCGCGATCAGCACATGGACTGGTCTCAGTTTATATGAGAGTCAAACAGGAAGTGAAAGCAGAGGGAGTGGAGCATGGTCAGTACTCGGGCGAGGGCTCCCTCTGCTGGATTGGCGTTACAATTACCTTCCAAAAAATGTAGTGCGAGTAGAGTAAAAGTACTTGTCCAAAAAAACTACTTGAGTAAGAGTAAAAGAGTAGCCTATTTAAAAGTACTCATGAGTATTGAGTAGTGAGTACTGAGCTGTGGATTCTACCCCCTCATAATAAACGCTGTACACCGCAATTTATACATTTTAAACCAAACACAAACATCAGTCCTATCAGGCGTCAGAACAAAAGGGGCAGAGTACAAATACCGTGAGTCAAGAAGTCAGGCAGAATCATACACAGGAAATCAATCAGGAACAGAGGAAGAATAACGCTTGGTAAGGCAGATCAACTGGCAATACTTCGCGATCAGCACATGGACTGGTCTCAGTTTATATGAGAGTCAAACAGGAAGTGAAAGCAGAGGGAGTGGAGCACTGTAAGTACTCGGGCGAGGGCTCCCTCTGCTGGCTTGGTGTTACAATATGGTTAATTTTCATAAGGTTACAAATGTAGTATATTTGTTTGAGTCCTGTGAAACGTGAGTCATGATAAATGGTTTTAAAGACTTGTATAAGCCAGCTAAAATGGCATGGTTGCTTCAGCAAATGCATTTTATATCACATTTAGCTTTGTTTTGTTAACACTATCCATTTAGGGTAGGGTTTAGTGTAAGTTATACAATATTTTCAAACATGATACAGCATAACGCCTCTAGGTATCTATCTATCTATCTATCTATCTATCTATCTGTAAGGTCCACAAATTGGTCCAACGGAGGTATCCAATTGTGGATGGTTTCCTGCATGATCGGTCTTTTCAGCGTGCAAAGTTATTAAATTTAGGTTAAACTCAAATCTGATTCCATTTTATTATTTAATCTGACTCCATTTTATTATGACCTCGAATTTAGGTTGAAATGCAAATTGGTTGTATGTCTGTTTCTAATTAGTATTCTTCTGACATTTGATTTTTCTAGTTAACTCTTTATTTTATATTTACTCGTTCATTCGGGTGCTCATGTCGCTAACAAGGATACAACGTAATCTACTAGAGTCAATAATTACAGAGTAAAACAGAACACAATCAAATGTAACAATTTATTATCAGTCAGGTAAATGTGTATTATGCCAATTACATATCCAATTCAAAAATATAAAACCATATCAATACAAAACATCACATTCTCAAAGATTAATCTAAAAGTAAAATATGCATACCTGACCTTAGAAAATACATAGTATGAAGTGTAGAGACACACACCACACTACGGGCTTTCTGACTACAGAATCGCACTGATCTTCTTGCAGTTTTCACTTAAATACCTAAAGACCAAGACAATCATCCCCCGAAATGGAGACAGAAACTAACAATTGAAATTTGCTTTGATCAAGTAGAGTTAACACCTTTTGGGACAGAAAGTAATTTGCATGAAATACATTTTTGAATCTATCTATCTATCTATCTTTTTGTCCCAATGAGCCTGTGTTATTTCAAAAATGAAATTATATAAGTTTAAACAAGTGTGAAGTTACTTTTTTGGGTAATCTCACTGATCTGATATATATATATATATATATTGCAGCTGCAGTAGAAGATCTGGAGCGTGCCATTTCTCTCAGTGGCCATGTTGGGCGATCAGCCTGCCAGGCTCTGGTGCAGCGTGGGCTCCTTCTAAGGTTGTCGGGTCGTGATGAGGAGGCTCGGGTGGACTTTGAGAAGGCAGCAGCTCTAGGCAGTGAGTTTGCTCGGCAGCAGGCTGTGATCCTGAACCCCTACACTGCCCTATGCAACCGTATGATGTCAGAGGTCATCAATAAACTACGCAACCCAGAAATGTCAGACATGCCATAGAGATGGAAAACATCACTGTAAAAAAAAATCTTAAAAATTTACGGTAAAAAAACGGCAGCTGTGGTTGCCGGAATTTTACCGTAAAAAATAAGGTAGCAACGTTTTAGGTTTTAACTTAAATTTACAGTTAAATACCGTAATTTCATTAACTGATATAATGTTAATATACCAACCTATTGAAGTACCGAAATCTGTTTTGTACCTTTGTAATACACTGATAACCACCAAATGCAGGTGGTGATGAGAAAGTCACATGATGAACCAAAGCCCATCACAAGCAGCTTTTAAATAATAACATATATAGAAGGTACACAATGTCATTCACACAAACACTAAACACCATCATGGTAACACACGTGAAACTGAAATAATGCAATAAAAATTAATTTAACAACATTAGGTGTAACACACAACCCTAATATACATAACTGATAAGAAAAAACTAAGAAGAAACATAGTTATTTCAACAAAAAAAACATCAAATTTGAAATGTAACGCAGGGAATTCTGGGAATGTCAATTTACGGTTATTCACTGTAAATTATACGGTCTTTTTCACTTCCAAAAACGGTATACTACCGTAAAATTAATGTCCAATACATGTAATGTCCAATACAGTTTTTCACCGTATATAGTAGGGGAATTTACCGTTAACCATTTAACAGGTTTTTACTGTAGCATTTTTACAGTCTTTTACCGTCAAATTCACGGTCATTTTTTACAGTATTGTAACAAAGGCATACATTTATTAGCTTTGTACGTCCCTTGTTTTCATAAGTGAATAAAGTCAAAACTTTTTCAGGTGATTGTCACTTTGGGGGATATGTGGAGAATGAATGAATATATATATATGATGATGAATATGAATGAATGAATGATCTCATAT